CTCTTCCCCTCCCTCGGTCGGCAGCTCGATCGACAATCCGATGTCCAGCCTTGATCAGGATTCAGGAACCTGCTCAAGGAGAAGACGAGGGTGGCTCCCTTGTTCGTCTCAAAATAGCCTTGAAGAATTCCTTCCGGTCCGGGATTATGCAACAATGAATGAGGCTCTCTTCGAGAATGAAAGAAACGGGCAGCACAAAGATGTTCAGCTTCGCTTAATTGCTTGCCGTCGTCAACCCTGTTGATATTGACCGGCCCACCCTGTCTCGTTCCGACTGCAATCTGCGGTTGCTTGGTGAGGGAAGAAAAAAAACGGCTAAAAAGCTACGGGAGCGCGCGTACCCAGTTCACCCAACTGAGAGGCCCTTGGCCCTTGAACCCCGCGACGATGAGTGACAGCCCACCTCATCCTAACGATTTTCGCTTCACCCAAGCCACGGTCTGTCTGCCATGCCATTGGCTCACTAACGATGATAACGACTCTCGTCGGTTTGGCGCCGAAGGGGTCTCCGTATGGACGTGATTGCCAACCGACGGCGTCAAGTCCGAGCGGTTAACACAGACAATTGCGCACTTGCACGCGCAAGTCGTGACAGCGGACGGGAAGGTCAAATGACCTGACTACTCACTGACAGCGACTACGCAGACAAGTCTTGATTTGACTTGCCGTATCAAGGGTCATGGTCCTTCGACTTGCGCCTCAAAACCTTGATTGTTGGCGAAGCCGATCTCAGCTGGAAACTATTGCATCTAGTTGCGTCTAAGCCAACCTTACGACCATTCCAACAGATCCCCTGGTTGTTCAAAATGACTCCTTTCGCGTTGCTATATCAATCGCACGAACCTCACACCAACAGCCAGGGTTCGACGGTGTGCCAGCGGGACTGCCTCCTGAACTCCCTTGCAGCTTAATGAAGATGCTCAAACGGCAAAATCCCACTGTCCGTCCAACAGCGCCCGATCACAGGCCAGGCCGACGAGGCGACCGAGACCCCCAATATCGTTGCTCGTCAAAGCGGCCCGGAGATTTACTGACATAAGCTCAACGACAACGACACATTTACCGAATATTGGTGTTGATGTCTGATATTGGTGTCTCCCTGGTTGAATGAGGGTTGAGTCATCAAACGCGACGAACAAATTTTCGACGCGGAGCACTGTCCAACACAACAAAAAATTAAAATAAAAATTCGCAACCAGGCATCTTCCCATGTTGATGATGGACGAGCATGGTCTCACCCGGCACTTGAGCGAGTGAGCCAAAACAAGGTCTCGCCATGCTCAAATGGGGACGAAATTGAGGCGGAACGGTGGACGAACTACGCAGAGGGAGGGCGGTACGAGGAAATCCCATCTCGATGCCAGAATCCTCGATCACTCACACCGGCCCCGATCACTCGCGGCGGCCTAGTCCGGCTCTAAAACAGACGTCATCCTCTCGGAGTCGAGCATGGCAAGTGATCGTCACGGTTCAAGACCCCCGGAGCGCCGCCTGACCCTCCTTTCGCTCCGCGAGAGGGCAGAGGCAAGGCAGAGGTCTCGTCTCTCCATATGTATCGAGATCCTGCTCGCTGGCTCGTTATTTTCATGCCGTCACGGACGGGGCAGAACCATTTCTGGAGCACTCGCACGAATCCGAAGCGTCGATGCCGATGCCATGCCAGTGACCTCAACCGAGCGCCTTCTGCCAGATGTGGCCATGGGCCGCAGAACCGGCCGTGCTACCTGTCAGTCAACCCAAAACATGAAGCGCATAACCAACGCACGCCGCGTCGGTCAGAGGGCGACACCGAGAAATCGGATTGGCTGCTCAGCTTCGAGTGTTGTTTGTTTATCGCGCATGCGTACGGAGACTGGAGCTTGGCTTATCATGGGCGCTACGAATCACGATGAGCGCCCGACGCTGCCTTGAATTGATGAGCCCATCTCACGCTATTGAGGACTGCCTGCATGAGGGGAGATGGCACAGGCGTCACACACAATCCAATGAGGAGGCTCAGCCGCATCTGGAGGTGTATTTCAAGCCGGAGCTTCAGCTCTCAACGGGCCGGTCGGACAGCAAGTCCAAGCCATGCCATGCATCGACGGATCCCGCGTGACGGAGGGAGCTGCGATGGCGTTTTGCTTCCCTCGCCCTCGTCTTCCTCCGACCTTCCGTGCCCCTCCAGAGACACACGCCCTCTGCGCGCACAGAGGTTTTGCAGCTCTACGTTTCCCCTCTTTTCAACTTTCCCCCTTGCCTCGATCAAACGCATGGCAGACTTTTCAGGACCGTTACGGCGCAACTCGGCGGACGGTTCGATTCCGCATGACTCTGCTTCACATTTGAGCGTTTGAGGGACGCTTGAGCCCTGAACTAGGACAGGCGATTGACAAGTGGGAGAAACGGCAGCCGTTGTGGGAATTCTTTCTCTTTGTCCCCTCCACCAACAGTGGAAAAGGGGAAGCAATGGTGAAGCAGCAAGCGGGTGCCGGCGGCGGCGCGCGTGTTGGCGTGTTGCACTGCGGGTGGGAAAAGCCACGGGCACCATCCAGTCCAGCTCCAGCGTGTTCTTTCTACCCCTCGATTTTCGGTCTCGACGCTGGCGGATATCGCCCTTTGGGATGGGACCCCTTATTTCAGCGCGGGTTTTCGCAGGCTACGGCGCGAGTCTTGCTGCACTGTATATTGTTTACAAACTGCGGATACGCGACTCATGTAAACAATGGGCCCCTGCAAACCCTGTTCGCCATGTCTCCGAACCCCTTGTCGGTTCGCGAAGTCACGTGAAGCATCGTGGCCGGGGGAAAGGTGTGCCGAGGGTGTGGGAATCTCAGAATCTGCCTTCGGACGGGACAGCCTACCTAGGACAGGGATGTCACGATGTCACGACAAAAAGTGACGTCCTTTCTTAGCCGCCCGTCATGTCGACATTTTGGCAGCTGCTGACAGGGGACGTGCCCGGGAAGAGAAGGAGGGGCAGAAAACCAAGTTGTGCACGTCCGTCCCACACTCGATCCATTCCTTGAGACCGAAGGTTGGAGCAACAATTCTCTCTCTCTGTTCTCTCGAGCGCCGACCGGCCGGGAACGATAGGAAACACTGCCCGGGAACCGCACGAGAATGAGGCAAGCAGAGTTCGATCCAAAGCTAGGCTGGGCTCCGCCTACCTCGGCATAGGCAACAGGTTCCGTTTACCGCACGAACTCCTCCCTCCTTACCGCACGAACTCCCAATCTGACGGCATCACTCCATTGGAGTGTTGGTCCGATGTTTGGCTGAACCCACCCTCGAAAAGCAAGGAATCCAAACCCGGCTCCAGCTGAATCTGCTGATGGTTTCGTGATGGCAAGGCTGCGAGGATGGAAGAGGGGCCCTCTGATGTCAGCCCAGGGGTTCGCAAAGCTCACCATCTTTTCCCCTCACCTCGACAGAGTATCCGTAGCTATTTCTAGCCCCCCGGAACCTCTGGGTGTTGCTGCTGACGATGATGCCCGCTGCGGCTGCTGCTTGGAACTTTGGCAGACAATGGAAGACTGGGTTCCCCGCTTCGCAGCCAGGGGCTTGCGGCGCGGCGCAGCTCCATCCCGCAGCAGCTTCGAAGCTTGCCGTTTCCATCACGACAGACACCACGGCGATACGAGTGACGATCCGCCAAAATGCTGGGTCGAAACATGCAGAAGCACAGACCGGGGCTGTTGGACGGTTTCTCATTGATTACCTAGGTATCTGGAGGAGACGTGCAGAGCCACGGCTTTCTTTGCTACAGAACCAATCCCTACGACGACAAGACCTGTGTCTTCCCGCTTCGGCAGCAGCGTAACCCGCACCGGTGTCTGAAACGACACGATATCACCCGGTGTGAACTCCCGCTGTCCGCCCCATCCGTTGCCATTGGCACCGCCGCAACGGCAACAATCTGTAGCAGCTGCTTTCCCGCTTCCGAATTGTTTACTTGGCCGTCTCTTGAGTCTGCCGACCGAGGCACCTGACTGGTTGAACTCCATCATCTGCATCGCGTCGTACTAACGGCGGGATTTCAGCATCAGTAGCTAGCACGAACTCAAGTGCCGGATCTCATCCCAAACCATCCGACCTATTCGCATACGAAAGGAACACAATGCCTTGAATGATGTTCGCATGTCCAAACACCTCAAACGGCAGCTCTGTCCGAGACTCGCCTATACTCGCTTGGCCTGCGATCGGCCGCGCCCATGTCTGGCGAGAAGGCAACCCCCTCCCCCAGCCGCAGCATCGCGACAAGCGAGCAAAGAATGCCCCGATGCGCCGCAACGGCTTCAGGAGTTTCAGGGTCCTGCTGATTTCTGTCCGCTTCGCATGTGCCTCGTTGCCCCCTCCCCCACATCCCCGACACCGCGGCGGCCAGATTGGGCGAAACCGCCACGGCGGCTTACACACCGGCCGACGTCCGTCGCCGGCGCCTTTTTCGACCGGCCGGTTTAATCCCCGTGGCATTCCTCCTCCGTCCCGTCGTCCACTCGGACGGCGTGCGGCGCCTGCAGAGTAGTCGTAGCTGTTAAAGGCGTTCAGCCGCCAGACGATGGGGGCGGGCGCCCGTGTTTCTTTGTCTGTTTCATGGGATTTTTTGGAATACAGAGTTTAGGATCGCATAGCGTCCCCGCTGATGGACGACAAAGACGCCACGAGATGCGTTTCTGGTGGCGGTCCAGAGCCGCCGAGTCTCGGGGTGGGAAATGCTCAGCGCCTCCGGGCTAAAACATCAAACATTCCAACCCGCGCCGGATAGAGGTGCGTGACAAAGAGAGGTGGCCCGCACCACGGAGTCGTTTCCGAGCCTAACCTCGTCTCTCCTGAACTAACACGATGCCCCAGATCCGACGGGCAGGGCGTTCGCGTTGGAACGTTCCTAGCTCCCGTTCTTGATCGCCCGTCCGGCTGTAACATGCTCAAGCTTCGTGCGATGATGGTAGAGATGGTCTCCTCTTTGGAGGCTCTCGTAGTAAGGGATAGCGTGGTGTCGGGAGAAAGCCTCCCGTCCATCACAACCCGTCGACCAACGGCTCCGCCTCGTCGAAAACGGCCTCGTACCAGCGTTTGAGGTCGCCACACCCCGCCCGCGAGGTCAACCCGCAGTTGGCCTCGAAGACGGTGTCCCACATCGCCCTCTCGACGTCGAACCCGCTGTCCTTGATCACCTTCTTGTGCAAGCCCCAGAGCCGGCCGAGCCTGCCCTTCTCGTCCAGGCGGAACATGGGATCCGACGAGGCGCCGATCTTGAAGAGGTTCACCTTGAACAGGTTGTGGTGGATGAATAGGGGCTTCGCCTTCCTCGCGGCGGGGGGCTCCTTGGCGTGGTCCGCCGTGAGGTCGGCGCCGGGGCCGGTGGACTGCAGACGGTAGTCCTCGGCCGGGTCGGCCTGGAGCATGGCCGCGGTCTCGTAGGACCCGTTGATCCACCGCCCGACCACGTCGTCCGGCGTCCAGACGTCGTAGAAGGGCTCCGAGAGCGCCAGCGCCGCCTGCACGAAGGTCTCCTTGTCGCCCTCCCCCGGGGCGTGCTGGGAGAGCAGCGGGTAGAAGCAGCCCGGGCCGTACCAGTTGTAGAAAGTCGCGAGCAGCAGGCTCCGCGCGTGGGACCTCTTGTCGTACAGCAGGATGCCCGACTCGGAGGTGCGGCGCTTCAGCAGCGGGGGCGCCTCGAAGCCCGCGACCTCGTTGAAGTGGGGGGACATGGTCGACAGCCAGAAGTCGGGCCAGGTGATGAGGCCGTAGGAGGCGAAGGGCTCCGTGGCGAAGAGGTGGTCCGGCGACAGGATCGGCCAGGCGTCCGAGTCGAGGTAGAGCACCCGCTCGAAGGGGGACAGCAGGATCGAGAGGACCTTGTACTGGTAGTGGCTCACGCCGTCGGCGGGCCGCAGGACGGACGAGAAGAGCAGGCACTCGGCGCCTAGCTTCGGCAGCACCACGCCGCACAGGTGCGGGTCGTAGTCGGCCGGGGAGTCGAGGAAGAGGTGCACCGGCAGGGCGGACCCGGCGCGGCGGAGCATCAGGATCGAGGTCCACGCCGTGCCGAGGTACCCGCCGCCCGCGGTCATGACGATCCCCGCGGACCCCTCCCATGTGGGCAGGCGCCTGGCGAGGGACTTGAGGCCGAAGACGTAGGTCGCGTGGGCGGATTTCAGGGCCTTGAGGGCGGACTCGGACACGGGGGTCACGTCGGGGCGCGGGAGGGTCTCGTCGACGAGTTCGTCTTGGGTCGGGTCGCGGGTCGATTTCAGGGGCTCGATGGAGGGGTCGGACGCGGCCAGGAGGGAGTGCAGGTCGGACCAGTATTTCTGGATCGCCGGGGAGAGAAGGTGTGTAGTTGCGTTCGGCTGGGCGAGGGGTTGAGCAGGTCGCGGGTGGTGGAAGAGGGAGGGAAGGGAGGGGCGGATGTAGAGGAGTGTTAGGAGGATTGGGATCGTGAGGAGGAGGTAGGGCGGTCGGCGGCGGGGGTTGGGGAAGAGCATCGTGTCGAGGGTGGTGGTTTTGGGTGTTGGGGTTCTTTGTGCTGGTCGTCGATATCGCAAGGTTGGCGGACTCGTGGAGATGTCTCCCGAGTCGAATCCGGCTGTTCTTTGGCGGAGAGATTTCTCTTCTTTTCTTCGGGGGGGAGAGAGTCGTGGGCGAGTATCTGGTGATCTCGAGCCTGGATGAACCAAGATGCGGCGCTCGGGGGGAGTGAGTGCTCAGTATCGAGACTTATCTCATCCCTTTCGCCCCTTTTTCTGTTCAAAGTTCGTGTTTGCGAGAGGGGTTTTCGTTTCGCAATGGGTATGTTTCTCAGGTGCGGATATATATATGGTCCCTTAAAAGCTTGTTGTACTGGTATGCAAAGGGATGACGAGAAAGGGGGTATCGTCACGGTTGTCCCTCTCTCGCGTTCCTGCTGATATGCGGTGGCGTTGTACTTGATTTTGCAAGGGAGGAACAGCAATTGGGGAATTTTCGGTGGTTTTGGTGTTCCCGTATGAGTCTGGATCGGTTTTGATGCTCCTCGATTCTTGTCAGGGGAATGTTGGTTGGCTTTCAAGGGCGGGCCCTTCTCTTTCCTTTCAAAGAATGAGGCAGGGTAGAGAAGACGAGGAATAGTCAGGGCGAGATACTGCCGTCTTTACGGTTCTGGATACGTCTTGTTCGGGGTATTGAAGGGGCGGGTTTTGTGAAGAATTCCGTATGACGCTGCGATGGTTGGGTGAGGTGGTGGTGCTTGGGGGGCGATGGAGTTGTTGGTGCCAAGGATCGCGAGATGGGTGCTATTGGCCTCCCCTGTTGAGACTCAGGTCGCCGTGAGGATGTTTGGAGCAGGTCGATAACAGGATTGTGTTGTTATCTCCTTCTTTTGATTCTTGTCAAACGCTGAGAGAGGAGGACGGCGCAAGAACCCTTGCCTTGTGTTCAGAGGAGACGAAGGAGTAGGGGGTTTCTTGATGTCAGCGTGTTGCTGACGTATCCGCGGAGGCGGTGATAGGCAGAAGGAGTCAGAAGCTGGTAGGGCATGCCGCTTGGTCAGAAGGCCCGGAAAGGGTCGGGATATTGATGGGCATGTCGAGCGGGCTTCTTGTCTATTGTTATATAAAGGATACCTTCTACTACTACAGAAGAACGAGGATGGGGATCACTACGGGCATGCGTCCAACCCTGTCCCGTAACGCGGCCAGTTCCCTGGGAATTTGTGCCCTTTTCTCATTGCGTGGCACGGCGTGGGAGATGTGACGATGGGATGGATACACACGAGGGAGGGGCATCAAATGGACAATGAGATGATGGGCCGGACTGGTGGGAGGAGGAGACGGATGTGAATCAATTTACGATTGTCACAGGGGCGTGTCGTACTGGTCGAATCGATTGACGGGCAAACGAGGCGATGAAAGGAACACGAGGTGATGTGGTATCAGACAGTTTTGTGTGAGCAGAGCGGTGGTCTTTGGGATGCGGTTTGTGGCACGGCGCGGGCGATCTTCGTGACCCATGTTTCTGGCTCGTGTACACCTCGTATTTGAGTGTTTAGTGAATTCAGCCGCCCCAAACGGCCAGGCTTGAAGACTTCAACGGTGAGAGGTTGTGCCGATGGTGCGACGCCTGCTTGCCTGGCGTGGCTGCTCATCGTGCATTGTTAGAGCCATGCGGGCTGACAGCTCAACCGTCGCCTCCGATGGCGTTTGATAGGATGGAGGTGGGTGATCAAGCATTAGCGGGGCGGTAGTTGAGAAGGAGCTTTCTGCGCAGCTTTTGTCTACTTCATGTCTCCTAAGCTCAACAACGATACGAGCAGCTGGGTTTCTGGGGAGGGACGACGTTGGTGACAGGTTTCGTTTGTTCCACCACAAAGATATTAAATTGGATTCAGAGACAAATCGGTTTCTGGGGAGGAGCACAGACGACGAAACAACGGACGACGGCGTCTGGACTCTTCTTCGTCTTGGGACGGGAGATATTAGAGGAATACTTGGGATGAAAGCGAAGGCATGCGGGAGTTCGCGGTATTCACTTAGCGGGGAATTAAGCAGTGGATCGCCTGCGCGGGTAGAAGTGGGTCGCACAGGGATCCCCCACCGTCGGTAGCGGGGCACGCTGATGGGGCGAGTGCTGCAACGGGGCGCCGGGGCGGTGATGCACGGCAGAACCTTTTTTTCCGCAACTTTTTGGAGAGGAAGGTCCATCAGTGCGCCATCTGCTGTAGAAACGAAACCGCCTTCGCGGAAAAAAGAAAGAAAATATTGCTGTTATAGCATCTTTCCGAGATCAATTGGAACGAGCATCAAACACAGAAACAGAAGGCAAGCATGACGAAGACGGCGAGCGCGAAGCGCAAGCGCGCCGAGAGGGAAGCCCTCAAGGCCGCGGACCAAGCCAACAAACGCGCAAAGACGACGACGACCACCACCGACGATACGACCAACGACAACACCCCTCGAGCGAACCTGCCCAAGGCCGTCCTCGAAAAGAAGCTCTTCGTCGAGAACTCCACCGGAAAGGACCGCGTGCGCGAGGCCAAGCTGTACGACCTCCTCAGCAGCGAGAACGAGACGGACCGCATCGAGGCTGCCGGCGCCATCATCTCCAGCCTCCTCGACGGCGAGGGCGCCGCCGAGGCCGTCCTCGAGAGGCATCTCGACTGGCGCCTCTTCCGCGGCCTCGCGAGCGGCCGCGCCGCCTCCAGGCTGGGCTACAGCCTCGTCCTCACCGAGATCCTGAGCCAGCTGCTCGGCCCGCCGCGGGACCTCGCCAAGGAGCGCTACCCGGGCCTGACGTTCGACAAGGTGCTGGGCATGCTGCTGGAGAGGACGCACGTGGGCGGGAACATCCCGGGGCAGGAGGAGAGGGATCTGTTCTTCGGGCGGCTGTTCGGGCTGGAGTGCTTCGTGCGCGCGCGGGTGCTGTTCGTGGAGGGCGAGGGGCCGGAGAGGTGGAACGAGATCCTCAGGTTGCTGGTGAGGCTGGGCGACGAGAAGGTCTGGCTGCGGCCGCAGTGCGGATGGGTCGTCGCGCAGGCGCTGGCGCGGCTGGAGCGCGGCCACGTCGAGATGGTCCTGCAGCAGCTCGTCGAGCTCGGCTGGGCCAAGACGCCCGAGGGGGTGGGCATCTGGCTGATCGCGCTGGAGCAGTGCCCCGAGCTGCGGAGCGACGAGAAGTCGGGCGAGAAGAAGCAGCAGCAGCAGCAGCATCACCCGCTGTCGTCGAGGAACCTCGGCGAGCTGGCGGCGATATTGAAGGAGAGCAGCGCGAACGAGGAGCAGGCGGAGAAGGAGAAGCAGAGGCAGCAGCAGAGGGGGAGCAAGAATAAGCAGGCCAACTGGTCGCCGACGCTGCACTTTGTGTGGGATCTCATCGTCGCGCACTTCTCCCGGCTGGGGAGCGAGCATGTGGATGAGTTTCGGACTTTCTGGCAACGGGTTGTCGACGGTGGGTTTTCTGTGCTTGCTCAAGTAGTCAAGGTCGGTTGCTAACCAACGGTACAGATAACTTCTTCGCCAAGGCGGCGACCGAGGGCCAGAAGTTCCGCGGCTTCCTGATCTTCCAGAAGATGCTGCAGGCGTTCGTCAACAACGACGAGTTCCTCGACATCCTCTTCAGCCGGAACTTCATGACCTGCCTGATGAACCAAGCCTCCCAGGTGGACCGGTACCTGCACCGCGCGGCGCTCAAGACGCTCAAGACCATCGAGGAGGCGTCCGCGGCGCACCCCGAGGCCACCGGCATCATTCTTGACAACCTGATCGGCAACAACGGCATGTACAGGTTCGACGTCATGACCAAGACCAAGACCGTCGACAAGATCCTCCAGCACGTCCAGCCTGAGACGGGCGAGGATGTCATCCAGGTGCTTAGCGGGCCCGTCATGAAGACTTGCACGAAAGGGTTCGTCCATCCCTCATTTCTTGTGGTACTTTGGTGGCGATGATGATGCTGACAATTCCACAGAAAGGACATCAACACGGTCAAACAGGACCTGCGTGTTTACATCGAGTACATCTTCCGCTTGAGCACCGCCGCACCCGAGTACGCGCTCCAGGAGTTGACGTCCCTCGCCTACGCCAAGCTGGTGTGGATCCCGGAGAACGCAAACGCCCTCGTGAAGGAGCTCAGCCGGAACCGTCTCCAGTCGGCGTTCGCCAAGCTCTCGCGCAAGGCCGAGGACTCCAACTACCTCTGCACGGCGGTCCAGTCCATCAACCCGGACTACATCCGCATGGAGGGCGACATGAAGAAGGAGGTCAACGCGGCGCGGAAGAGGCTGGAGAAGCTCATGAAGAAGGGCGGCGCGGAGGCGGCTGGTGAGGACGCGTCGGACGACGTCAAGATCGCGCAGGGGCTCGCGCTGTTGCACGCCATCGCCATCTTCCAGCTGTACAACGAAGAGCCGGACGCGTTCCAGCTCCTGGGCGACCTGAAGGAGTACCAGACCCGGTTGCAGGAGGACGAGGAGGGCGCGGCGGAGTTCCTGGTGGAGATCCTCCTCGCGCTCGTCTCGCAGCAGTCGGCGCTCATGCGCGAGATTTCCCAGCGCGTGTTCGGGTACTTCAGCAGCCGCGTCTCGCCCAAGGCTCTCGAGCTTCTCCTCGACGTCCTCGCCGCGGACGAGAGCGCCAAGGGTCAGCAGTCTCTGTTTGACATCGACAACGACGATGATGTCGAGGAGATGGAGGAAGACGATGAGGATGAGGAGGACGACGAGGACGAGCTCGGTTCAGACTTTGAGATTGACTCGGATGTGGAGTTCGTCAACCTCGACATCGGCGACGGCGAAGACGCAGAAGAGGACGAGGAAGAGGAAGAAGAAGACGAGGAAGGCTCCGGCTCCGACGAAGCAGACGACGAGGAGGCTAACAACCTCGAAGCCCTCGACGACGCCCTCGGCAAGATCCTCAACAGCCACCGCCTCGACAAGGACCAGGAGGCAGAAGAGTCCGACAACGACGCCGACATGAGCGACTCGGACATGCTCGAGCTCGACAACAAGCTCGCCGAGGTCTTCAAGCAGCGCGCCAAGGCCGCCCCCAGCAAGAAGAAGGAGCGCAAGGCCGCCAAGGAGTCCGTCGTCAACTTCAAGCGCCGCGTCCTCGACCTCCTCGCCACCCTCGTCCGCAACGAGGCCGCCAGCCCGCACACCCTCGCCGTCCTCCGGCCCCTCCTCGAGCTCGTCCGCACCACCACCATCAAGACCCTCGCCGACCGCGCCTTCGAGCTCATCAAGGACTACCAGAAGCGTCTCCGCAAGGCGAGGTCGGGCAGCAAGGGTGTCAAGATCGACAAGGCGCAGGCGCTCGAGGTGCTCGAGGGCGTGTACGAGGAGCTCAAGGCCGGCGAGACCAAGGCGCACGCCAAGGCCGCGGTGCCGGCCTGCCTCATCGCCGCGTCGAGCGTGTTCCACGCGCACGGGGGAGACCGGGCTGTCGTTGACGGTGTTGTCGGGGATGTGAAGAAGGACGCTTCCGCGGCGCAGGTGGACTTGAAGAAGGCCTGGGACGAGTGGTGCCGGAATCACGAGGCGCTGAAGAAGGCCGGTGCTGGGAAGAAGTAGACGGATGTCGGTGCATTAGAATTCTTTCCAGGGCGTTTTTGGCATGTTGGGGAAAAAAGAATGTCGTTTTCTGTTGATATCACAGGGGCACGAAAGACCTCGAGGTCGTCAAAAGTTACGGTAGAGCATCGTCATAGATTCCTTTGGTAATGTCTAGATGGGGTTACCTTCTATTCTCTACATGTGGTATTGGAACTCATGTTTCTAAGCGTGATTGCTGTCTAATCTCAACTAACTCTTACAAAAGGGGGGGGTATCATATCTTCCCATCATTGCCTTGAGAACAAACCGCCGATCCGCGCCGCCGGAGGCTACTAGGCATCGTCGGCGGCGTAGCGGGTACCGCGCGGAGCAGGTCTCCTACGAAGAGTCTGGGAGTTTTCGAACGCCTCTTCGTAGTCCGACTCCTTGGCATTGAGGATGTAAGCGTAGACTGCTGGCTTTTGGGTCATGGGCACCGGGAGGTTTGGGAAGCGCGCGGGACCGCTGATTGCGGTAACACGGCGCCGGTAGGACATTGACGAAAATACGGGTGGTTGTTCAATATCCTGGACATTCTGAGAGTCCTGATCCTGGGTGTCATGAGTGTCGTGAGTGTCGTGAGTGTCATGAGTGTCATGAGTAAGCTGCTCATCAAGAAACACGCCGATGAGCGGCATACCGTGCATCGTAGTTCTACGACTAGAAGCTTCATCCCCAAGGACAAGTGGCTGGAAGACAACAGAGATCCTATTTTGGTCCGCATATCCATCTTCCTCCGCGTCTCCACGCTCGTTCTCCAGAATCTCTTCCACGTAATACTCAACTCGCTGGGTCTCGCCGTCCGAACATCTACTTGTTCGGCGCCAGACCACGTACGAGGTCGGGTGCATGCCCAGCGGATCCTCGTGCCCCAGGTCTGCCATGATTTTGGCCATGAACTCCTCATCCGACATCTCCGGCTGCGTCGTGCGCATCCTGCCGCGGGCTGTAGGCTGAGGATCGGACGGGACCTCGATGGGCGAACGGCGCCGGCTGAGGGCGTTGAGGGCCTTGCGGACGAGGCGGCGGAGGCTACTTTCCATTGTTCTTGGTGTTTGTTGGTGGTGTTGGTGCTGTGTGGTGATGATCAATGTTGCTGTGCGTTGATGATTAAAATCGGTGTTCTGTCAAAGGCTTGAAAACACCGGTATCTATATATAACAGTACTCTCTCGATGGATGCAAGTTGTCTGGGAGGCATTTCTCTTCGGTCGTTGGCTCACTGGCAGGCTTGATAGTAAGTGAGGTTGGCCATGTTTGAAACTGGGCCCCCGGTGTTGGACAATGACGCTGTTCACGAGGTTGGTGGGATTCATTGTTGTTCGAAGACCCGGCGGCCCTGGACCGGTGGCAATGTGACGGATGTCAAGAACAATCCATTATTGGTCTTCTCATGGGCTTCGGAAGTTTTCTTGGTCTATCTTTTGCTGCTGTTTGGTTCGGGGACGGAAGGCCAACCGTATCGTGACCTTCGGGGCCGTGGCCCGGGCTTCGGTCGCCTCCCACTTTGTGTGGTCGTTATATTGAGATGAGATCTCATATGACAAAGATTTGTGCATCTTAGGGATGATACTCACGTTGCCCGCACACAGCCTCAGAAGAGCTTCTGTGCCTTGGGTTTAGTGACAACAGGTGGTGTATAACGAAGAACGGAGAGGAAGAGATAGCCCGCAACTTATTGCTACTTTGTTCAACTCGTAGGAACTGTATATTGCTATTTAGCAGAGTGATGATTATTTTTGTGCTGCTTGAATTGGATATGTATCTCGTAGGACATGAAGCGGCCGGTCCCGCCTATGTCGGCGAAGGCGGTGCTTTTACTTCACATATGGCGATGACTTGAGCGCCCGGGGACACCTAGATATACTCACAAGTCATTGATTTATGTATGCTACCCAGGGTCTTTCGTAAACGAAGCACGAGATTCATGATCAAACCTGGACATGAGTTCAATTGATCATGCGCCTCACCAGGCGGGCGCCTTGCGTATAGCTTCCAACTGGGATCGGCGGCTAATCATCCAGTATATACCTGGGAAGATAACTCTCGAGAGACATAAAGCATCAAAAGATCCAGTAATATTTCACTTGATCGGATTTTAATGATAAGCAATCAAGGCATTCTCAACGGTGGATTCAACACAAAAATAGTCAAAGGTCCAAGACCAAGGGGTCAGATGCGGTGGCTAAGGTCAAGCATTGGACTGCTGAGCTTGAGAGAATTTGGCATCGTGATGACGGGGTTTCAATTAGTATAGAGAGCTTCGGACTGTTTTCAAGTACTCTTCGAGGAAAGACAGGTGATTCTTTTACGCAGTACTGCAGCTGTCGCAAAAAGACGCTCACCTCAACTACAAGAGGACATAGCCCGTTGAGGTGGGTGGCAGAAACAAACTGGTAAGTAACCTGGAGCTCTTCATTCATCCACAGACTTGGAGAAGAATGGGTCATTCATTGACTATTGCGCTCTGGTACTGACAAGAGGAAGTTAAAGCCGCAACCAGCTCCGGCTTTTAGAGCAGAGGTTTTCTAAATACAGAACAAATTCCTTCAATACTGGATTCTTTGACGATAAAGAGAGAATCACCCACAAAGGCCCTTTTCCAACTTTGAACAATAGCCTGATTCGACGGTGTTGGCTTTGCCTATTCTCCTTTGATAATCTCGAGAAGGAATCGGTCTCTTTATGAGTCGTTTGCCCGTGTAACATGACTGATATCCTCGGCGGCCATATATTCAACCAGGCCTCCATCCATCACAAGAAGAGTTTCTGTTGGATATTCACGCCGCATCATAATCCAGCTACCCAGCCCAAACATCGCACAAAATACCTGCCAGCAAATATCTTCTTTTCGCACATCAGAGTTTCAATATATCAGTACCATAAAAATGTGTATCCAGCTATGGCGCAGATATATCTGCCCCAGAGCCAGAAACCCTCAACCGCTGCAACAGCCAGCTGCTGGCTGGAGAGCCACGCATCCCAGACCAAAGCCTGGCGTGTTCGATCATCATCTGGTGTTCCAAGAGGACAACATCTTCAGGGAAAACGTGCACGACCCCAACGACAGAATCCAGGATGACATGCAGATCCACTGGATCAAGAACATCATCCGCTGCGCCCACCCGCACTACATCCAATGCCACAACCTCGCCGAGCCGATCGGGAAGATCCAGTACATCAACGGCTCCTGCCCGTCCTGCACCGGCAGCATCGACGTCCACGTCGAACAGCACACCCACGTCCTGCAGGAGTGGGACGTACACCCGAGGATCCCCAAGGTGGGCGAGGAGGACATGGACATAAGGTTCAACATGATGTTCGAGGGTTACAAGGAGTACTACCTCCTCGAGCTCATGAAGCTTATCATGTCGGTCCTCAAGAAGCCTTATCCCATCAACCACATCCAGGGAGCCCAATGGCAGGCAATGATCGAGAATTGCTGGCCAGAGACCTTTTGCAAGGTAAAACACAGTCACCTCGGGGACGCCATAGACAGATGCGAGTGCATACAGACCAAGGAGGAGTGGCGCGTCAACATGTCGACTTCGATGCGCAAGAACGAAGCGAATGCCGTGCTGAGCAGGGGCGACCTGAACGCCGCTGGCAGCCTCGACCAGTACTATGCCGACGTATTCTGGGCGCCGTCAGCTAGTAATCCAACTGTCCTGAAGCAATACTGGCAAACAACGGCAAGGGCGGATGCTCTCTACCAGGACTTCCCCCCGGTCGACTTCCCCGACTATCAAATGGCTTTTGTCAATATCCACAGTATCGTCTACGCTCACCGCTACGCCAGGCTCCAGAAGCTTTCATCCGACTGCCGCAGAGCGCTCTCGGAGAGGGGCGCGCATCGGTCACAGAGATACCCGGATCCGCAAAGCTACACCAGGAGGCACATCCGGTGGTTCGGCATAGACGACTGGGACGCCAGCCTCGGCCGCCGCCACGTCTTCCTCGACTGGATCTACCGCTTCCTCGCCCTCGACGCGGGCCTCGACGAGGAGCTGATGATGTACCTCGCCGGCGGCCTCCTCGCCGTCCTGAACCCCTGGCCGGACGTGTGGTGGAAGCCGCTGCCGTCGCACCCGGAGCCCGAGGTCCTCGACACGGAGCTGGCGGCCTACGACCTCATCCAGGAGAGCGTGTACGAGCTCGAGTACCACTGGCCGCTGGACGGCAACAAGTACACCGCGCACAACCTCATCGCCTCCCTGGACTCCGCGTCCAAATTGTACAACGTGATCGACCGCAACCGCAAGATCGTGATAGCGGACGCCGCGGCGCGTAACAGCGCCGCCGACAACGGGCTCCTGAGGGCGCAGGGAGACGCGCGGGTCGCCGAGCAGAACGGCGACGTCAAGTGTGTGATGTGTCTCGACCCGTGGGACGCCACGCCGAACCACGAGCCCGTCAGGATGCAGTGCTGCGGTAATCCCGTCGGGAAGCGGTGCGTGAAGGAGTTGTTGGCCAAGATGCCGATCCGGACGGCGGGTCGGGAGGCGGAGAACCGGAACACGTGGGCGATCGGCTGGAGGTGTCCGATTTGCCGTGGTGATCTGGGGGCGCAGTTCAAGCCTCTGATTACGTATCTTCACGGTCCGGTTGATGTTGAAATGCCTGGGTTGCACGAGAGGATGGAGAGTCGCCCACAGCATCCGAGTTACTGGACCACGCGCCACAGGGAGCGGAATCGGCTTAATGGTGGTAGGAGCTGAATGGAACGTTGTGGATTGCTGGGTATGTAAGAGTATGGTTGATATGTGATGTACTTTATCTTGGTTTTGCGAAATGATAGCAAGAGGGGTCGAGCAGGTCTCGCTTTATACCCTCATGAGTCGGAGTCTTTCTGGTAGAGGAGTTGAAGCGGTTAAAAATACACAAACAGCAATCCAGTCTTTGCTTACAGTTGCGGTCTTAGGCTTCAGTTCGTGTTTTCCCCCAGTCAAACTGTGAGTTTCTAAAAATCCCCATACGTCACTGAGTGCAGAGAAACTAAATGGTTCATTTCACTTTCAGAATTGCTCGTTTCCATTAAATAACAGGGTAGGAGCCGGCTTTCTTTGGAGCAAGCCGGTCTGACTGAGCATCGTACTAGATGAGAGCCCATCTTCAGTGAACAGTAATTGGGATGGAGACTATTACAACATCTGTTGATGCTTCTCTTCAGTCAACTAAGCAGGAAAGTTCAAAACATCAAACCAACTGACCAGTTTCTGTTCTGTGAGTTGAAAGTGAGTTCAGAAAAAGGGTCGACCCCTGGACAGCAATATGCAGCGAGAGCAACAAGACTCTCAATCCTTCTATCAAGCAAAAGACTCTGAGAATTGGAGAGGTCTGTAGATGACTTCTACGATCTGCTATGTAGTGTTTCTCATAAGACTTGAGTTGAGGTTCTCATGAAGACTCACAACGTTGACTGAGTTGAGTTTACCCCAGCAGAGAGCTGCGTGCTTCCAGGTGCCTTACATAAGACATATCCTGCACAATTAAGGGAGCGAGATCTGGATCATTCTAGGCCCAAGAGGGACTGGTGCGATTCGTGACGGTGCAATGATCCCTGCCCGGAACCTTCTCCTTTCGCAAACGGGAGTCCCCTGGGTCCAGTGAGCGAGCGACCCTTTGCGCTTTGGAGTCTCCCCCCCGGTTGAAGGCAAAAAAGTTCCCTTGTCCAACGGGAAATTCCATCTCCTTTGAGATTCTCCCCAAAGAGACCACATTTCCCATTCGCAATCTCTGGGAAAATTTTCCTTTTTTCCTCTAGAATCCCGGGATCTGGCTCTCAGCAAACGGTTTGGTAGGGAGACAAGCTTGTCAACCTTTTTGGAGGATACAGAAAAAAAAGAGGAACAGAGGTACGTTTCATTCATTGGGGCTTGTTGCTTCGCTGGCAGCTCCATGCCACATGCTCCCCACGTCCCCAATTGGAAGCTAAAGCTAATAACACCTGGCATCCTCAGCATCTCGACACCGAGACTGTCCCATACTTCGGCCGATTTCGCGCGCCGTTTTCCGTCAACTCTAGGGAAATTGATTTGGATCTGGTTATGCAAGAATGAGGTTCAGCATTCTGTCTGTTGGCCTCTTGGCCCTGTCGCCGTTGACCGCGGCCTGGAGCAAAGAAGGTAAGCAACAAACAACATGCAACAACACCACGCGTGGTGCGACAGTAGGCTGACAAGACGCAATCAAACAGATCGCGAGATCTTCCGCATCCGTGATGAGATCAAGGCGCACGAGCCGAACCCCGACATGACCTTCTACGACCTCATGGGCATCAAGAACAGCGCCTCCATCGACGACATCACAAAGGCCTACCGCAAGATCTCCCGCTCCCTTCACCCCGACAAGGTGCGCCAGCAGCTCATCGCCGAGCGCGCCAAGGCCAAGAAGGACAAGAAGAAGAACCCCGGCGTCAACGTCAACAAGCCCCCCACCCAGAAGGAGATCAAGGCCGCCGTCAAGATCGCCTCGGAGCGCCAGGCCCGTCTCGGTCTCGTCCGCAACATCCTCAGCGGGCCCGACCGCGACCGCTACGACCACTTCCTCCGCAACGGCTTCCCCGCCTGGAAGGGCACCAACTACTACTACAACCGCTACCGCCCCGGCCTCGGCACCGTCCTGTTCGGCGTCTTCCTCGTCGCCGGCGGCGCCTTCCACTACATCGCCCTGTACATGTCGTGGAAGCGCCAGAGGGACTTCGTCGAGCGCTACATCAAGTTCGCTCGCAATGCTGCCTGGGGCGACAACCTGAACATCCCCGGCATCGACGACGCCCCGGCCCCCGCGCCCGCTCCGGCCGCCGATGAGGACTCAGACGCCCCTCCCGTCCCGAGGAACCGCAAGGAGCGCCGCATGCAAGAGCAGGCTGCCCGCAGAGGCGCCGCCAAGGAGGGCAGGTCGCGCGGCCGCAAGCCCGCCGGCAGCGGCACCGCCACTCCCCGCGAGGCCGCCGTCGTCCAGTCCTCCGGCCCTACTGGATCCAAGAAGCGCGTCGTCGCCGAGAACGGCAAGATTCTGGTTGTTGACTCCGTTGGCGACGTCTACCTCGAGGAAGAGAACGAGGACGGCGAGGTGGAGCAGTTCTTGCTTGATGTAAGTTTTACCACCATTCTTTAAAATGTCGAGCTAGAGCTTGACAAGCACTCAATCCCGAGCTGCGCAAAACCCATGTGTCGGGCGATACTAACTCGAAGTAGCCCAACGAGCTCCCTCAGCCCACCATCCGAGACACCGCGCTCGTCCGCCTCCCCATCTGGGCCTACAACCGCACCGTCGGCCGCGCCCTCAACAAGAACACCGACGAGGTTGACTTCGAAACGGAGGAGCTCGACTCCGACGACGGCGAGGTCCAGAACACCCCCAGCTCCGACTCGGCCGCCGACGACTTTGAGCTCCTGGAAAAGTCCACTGATTCCCTCGGCAAGGCCAAGGCCAGCGGAGCGCAGACCGGCAAGGCCAACAAGCGCAAGAACAAGAAGAGGTGATAGGGACACCGAGGAGAAGGGGCACTGGAACGCAGCCAGACTGCATCTCTGTCTGGCTCTCGAGCACATGGCGGGCTCGGGTGAGCCTCTATTTGCCGCGAGTGTCAGACAGTATGCTGGGAAAGGCTGCATGACGCATTTTGGAGCCATTGTCCTCTCACTCCTGAAAAATATACAAGTAGATTATCCATTCAATGCATATTCACGTTTGCTTTACGCAAGGCCCTTTTCTTGGGCTGCTTCATGCTTGGCTGTCGCTCACGGGTGATGGCGGCATTTGCACGCGGCTGGGCTGCAAGTGCTCGGGCTGACAGCAAGCAACGGGATCATTCCTTTCCGCGCTTCCCGTCCTGCGAGTCTCGGGTCGGAGGTTTAGGGGGCGAGCGCTGCGGCTCCGACAATCCATTCCAAGCAGTGGTGCATGGCAGGCAGGCAGAACAGCCCTGCGTCAAAGTTGAGTTGCCTGAGACCGTTTCCTGCCGCGTCTGCAACGCTCAACTCTGTTCCGTCCCTTTCTTCTCACCTTGGAATTCTCCCGCCATCTCAGATGCCGCAGTATGGTTCGTCCCCCTCGTCTCCACACGTTTTGACGAACTTTGCGTGGCCCGTTGATGATTGACGTCAAAAAAGCAGCATCGATCGAACTGCGAGACATCGTAATTCAGTCAAAGTCAACCTTCAACACGAAGAGGAAGTATCCCGCCCTGCATTATCCCCTCCCCCCCGCGAACTGTCGCCCTGAAACAAGCAAGGGAGCTAGACGTCCACTTGATGCCAAAAACAGGCACTGCCGTTCCTGGGCCTTATCCAAAAGAAACAAAACGAACCCGCTGCTCGACCCCGATCTCTGGTTCTTAGTCCAAAGGAGGAAAAAGGGCGGCTTGAGCGCGCGAACGAAGAAGACAAGCAAGCCCGCCGCCGCACGCACGCACGCACGGCAACGACAGCAGCAGCAGCAGCAGCAGCAGCAGCATCACACAAATCAATCACGCTCGAGCCGCATGGTCGCCCGGTTTACATAGCCTCCGCCGCTGCTGGCGTGTACCTGACGCCTTTCCTCGCTCGTTCTACTGCAGGCTCGGGGTGCGACCTCTAGCGTCTGTTCGCCGACGTCGTCCGCCCACCGCCACACGCCAGCTCACCCGCTAGCTTGGAAACCCTATCTCAATCGAGAAACGCGGCCTGCGCTACTTGTCCATCGTCATTGGCGGGATGGTGTTCCTCGCGTAGTAGTGCCGTTGGAGGTGTAAGGGGTGGTGGGAGGGACGGAAGAGACACACCAAGAAAATAGGGACGGGACGTACTCTTTTCTCCTCCCCTTACACGCCTGGACCGATGTGTGTGTGTGTGTCGAGGCTATTGGACGCGTTCTCCCATAGACTTCGCGACCTGACTCCCTTCGTCGGTGGGATGTTTCTTCGGGGAAGGGGGGCCGTCGGAGATTGGGACGGGTCCTCTGGGCGGACGAGCGAACGACGTTCTCCCGCCACAGTCCACCTTCTTCGTCCGGTCAGGTCTTGGTCTGGGTCATTCGTTCCTTGCCCCCCGGCTCGGCTTCCAGACAAACGGACTAAGGACCGTCAGCACACCGACGGCCTCCCATCGAGATATCAGACCAGAACCTGAACTACCCCTAAATGCTAGGCCGAGCGTGGCTCCCATCCTCTCCCGCGGATTCAATGATATGTATATCCAGGAATAGCCCCCCATGACCCTGACGGGTCTTGTCTCCCCCCCTTCTTATCCCGCTCTCTACCACCCCGGTTCTCCATCCCGCCAACCCGGATCACACTCTGCGCATCTCACGTGTGTCGCTTAATCTCCCGACGATCATATGTCATTTCTCGTCATGATGTATAGGTGAACCAGGAAGAAGCAAGGAAACCAAAACGACGTCGACTGCTCGTCGAGAAAGATCGTAGGGGGCTGGCTGGCCGTCGAAGTGGATGATATTGGCATAATGGAGGATCGCAGCGGGCAAGTTCTGGCCGTCGCGGTCCTCTTCTTCGTGGTGTGCTGGGTCGTTGTTGCGGCAAGGATATACACTCGTGGATGGATCATACGCTCCTTTGGCGTCGACGACAAGTTGATGATTGCCCTCATGGTTCGTCCAGCCTCCTTTCGTCATATGCCCAAATCTCACTAACACCACTCACAGCTCCTCTTCACCGTCTACCTCATAACCCAGATCCAAGGTGTACGACACGGCACCGGCAGACACAGATCCGACCTCACCCCAGAAGACAACCGCGATGCCCTCATGGTAACCACACCTCCTCCCCGGTGTCTCTCGTTCTCACTAACACACCCCGCAGTACTGGTATATCTGCGAACTCCTCTACATAATCTCGACCTGCCTCCTCAAGATCTCCGTCGGCTACTTCCTCCTCCGCGTCTCCATCCGCCGCTCCCACGTCTGGATCCTCCGCATCCTCATGCTCGGCACCGTCCTCTTCGGCACCACCTACTTCTTCATGGTCACCTTCCAGTGCGTCCCCGTCAACACCTTCTGGGACCAGTCCCCCCGCGTCCAGGGAAAGTGCTTCAACGACCGCGTCGTCGTCATCATGACCCTCACCGCCTCCATCATCAACTGCCTCGCCGACTGGTCCTTCGGCATCCTCCCCCTCTTCATCGTCTGGTCCCTCTCCCTCCCCAAACGCACCCGCCTCCTCGCCTTCGCCATCCTCTCCTTCGCCGCCATCGGCTCCGCCGCCACCGTCGTCCGCTCCGTCTACATCCCCACCCTCCTCAACGGCGACGACTTCCTCTGGGCCACCACCGACGTCGCCCTCTGGAGCACCGTCGAGCCCGGCATCGGCATCACCGCCGCCTCCCTCGCCACACTGCGGCCCCTCTGGCAGCTCGTCTGGTATCGCGCCGGCGTCAAGTCCCAGGCGCCCCGCGCCATCGCCTGGCGCGAGCGCCTGCAGGCCAAGCCGAGCTACGTGCAGAGCGACGAGTCCGGCGGCGGCGGCCGCCGGCACCCCCACGCGCGCTTCCGCTTGTCGGACGACGACCCCCTGGGCGATATCGACAGCGGGATCGAGGCGGAATTCGAGGCCGCGGAGCTGCCGCGCATTAACCACCCCGGCGGAGCAGGCGAGGCGGCGACCTCGAGCGCGCCCTCGCGACGGAGCGGGCTGAGCAAGACCTTCGACATAACCTACCCGAGGAAACGCGACGAGGAGGAGGGCGACGTCCTCGTGACGCCCCGTGACGACGGCAGCGGCGGGCAATACCTCGCCGCGACGCCGACCCGCGCTGTAAATTACCACCCCTACCTCCCTTTTCTCCTTTCGCATGTATACTAACAAGTCTTCTTAGGAACACGAAAACCACGAACCAGACCTCGAAGACGGCCTCCACCTCGCCCCGATCATCCCCTCCGCCGCGCCGACCGTGAACTGGGTCTCCCCGCGCATGTCCGCCCTCTCGATGGGCTTCTCGGGCGAGACGCCCCCGCACTCCGCGAACCGGCACAGCCACGACAACAGAGCCTCCGCGCTGTCCTCCACGTCGACGTGGGGATGCCTCAACGACCCCCGCGCGAGCAGGGTGAGCAGCCTCACGGCCACGACTGCCGCCAACAACCGCGACACCTTGCGAGAAAGCAGGATCGCGGCGGCCCCGACGACGACTACGACGGGGAACAGACACAGCCGGTACGAGCGGTACAGCCGGACGACGAGGACGAGCAGCTACCACAGCCGGTTCCTGGCGCCGCCGAGCCCCGGGGACATGCCGCTGCCCAGCCCGCCGCCCGTGTGGCAGGTCAACGTGCCGGGCGGGATGGACTCGGCGCAGTGGCTTTCGAGCCGTATGACGGAGCACCCCGGGAACCCCGGCGGACGGCTGTGATTGGGAGACGAGGAGGCAGTGGCGATGAAAGTCACAGCGTAAGGAATTCGCCTCACACTGTTGTGGTGTTTGGATGTTTCCAGTCACGGTCGTTGAAATATGTCAAAAATCTTCCAGTGTTTGAAGGACGGCACGACGGGGCTCGTGTCTCGTTTAACGGCTGAACGCTCAGTTCATAACATGCCGACAGCGTCTCGACACTCTAATCTAAATATCTCTCGGCAGCTGTTTGATGGCCTTTTGAGCCTAGTATAACTGGGACAAGGACGGGAATGAGAGATGAGGATGACGGAGGACGAAACCTCACGATTGCAGATGGAATAACCACGCAAAAACTACTATTATGAAGGACATATACCCGGGATACCACTTTACGAGGACATTTCACATTAACAAAAAATTAAGTCTAATGGGAGGCAAAGGAGAAGCGGCGTACTAAGGTAATTCATTAGGCGAATAGGGGCTCGCAAAACGCGGCTAGCATGTTATCGTTTACTGATCGGCTAAAATCTTATGCAAAGGCTTCGGCGTAACGAAAAGGGGCGAAACGGGAACGGGCCATATAGACGACAGAAAAGGACACAATCAGTGCATTCAACTATTAATTGATATCATTTTTTCTCAATTTTCGCTGTTCATTCCTCATGTCCTAATGGTATACGTCCAATGCCTATTCATAAAGTGACCAACGAAAGAAAAGCCCACAACGAGGCATTGGAATAGTTGCCTCTTCCGTGCGTGCCCGATCCGTCATGCAGTCTAACTGGTATCTGCCGCTGCTATGCCGAAAACAAAAACAAGGTATGTACTCAAAAACGCTTACAACATCTCCATGTCCATGCTCTCCGTCGCGCCGCCCCAAGCCTGGAAGGCGCCGTACTGGTTCTCCATCTGCATCTGCTGCTCCCGGGCCCAGTCGTCGCCGAAGCCCTTGTAGACGGGGTCGGTGGCGGGCTTGTATGACGAGCCGACGGCGGAACCGTAGTGGGAGTAGTTGTTGCCCGAGGAGCGGAGGAGCTCGGCTTGTTCGCGCTCTCGTTGCTCTCGGTCACGTTGCTCGCGCTCCTGCTCGCGGCGCATCATCTCCTCGTAGCCGGACATCATGTAGGGCTCGACTTGGTGGGAGATGGAGTCGGCGAGCCAGCGGCCATCGCTGGACTGAACCTGGGTTCCGTCCAGGCTCATCATAGCCTGTTGCTGTTGTTGCTGCTGCTGCTCAGCCTCCATGCGCTCCCACCGAATCTGCGCCAGCTGCTCCTCTTGCTCGAGGGTAGTGCTCGTCCATCCCAGGGAGGGGTTGTCGTTGGTCGAGGTGGGCGGGGCGGCGCGCCAGATCTTAATCAAGCGTAGCTGGTGGGATTCCTCGGAAATCCGGAAGAGGTTGATCTGAGCAGGGGAGAGAACGGAGGGGTCGACACCGTGCTGAATGAGGACCGTCTCAGGAGTGACTTGCTCGGTCTGGGGAGGCTCAGAGGATGGGCGCTGGATTTCTTGGAATTCTTGTTGAGGCTCTTGTTGCTGTTGGCGAATGATGTGTGCCGAGTGGTTGTAGTGCTGGGTGATGGAGTAAATGATGGGAGCCGCCGCGGCCGGAGCTGGTGCGGCGTTGGTGGGGGCGGGGTCCGGAGTCTGCTTGAGCTCTTCCTCCACCTTGGGTGGCGTCTGGCTCTCAGGGTGGAAGGTTAGATTGCGGGAAAAGAGCGCAGCAAGGTCATCTTGGGCCTGCATGGTCGGCGGAAAGGAAACCATTGTTCTGCAAATTTGTTAGTCTTCATTTCCTTCACTCATTGATATGCCAACTCGTGATGTCGACGCTTGGTCATCTCCGACAAAACCCCGGCGGGGTTCCGAAAGCCGGCACAGTCATGTCGTAGACGGCCAAGCTGAAAGATGAGGGGAAGGAAACTTGCCTTGTTGGAATTTGCACAATATTGGCCGTAACGCCAAAAGTGATCGTTCGGTCTGAAGCTATTTGCTGTGAAAGTAAAACTGCTGTCGGAGCAGGAGAGGCAGTGATATACTGTCTTGTTCTTGGGGGTGATCGGCTCGGGTGGCTGTAGACAGCTGCGGTAGGAAAACAAAAGCGTTTTATATTGGCTATGCTATTTACTCGAGCGAGATGGTGTTTCTTAGAGGATGGGCTTGTTCTTCTTTTGTTTAAATCAGAAACAGAGCAAGAAAATCGGTAGACGGAAAGAAAAGCGACAGTGGTCACAGGAAGCAACGGTCGGGGGGTCTGGTTCGGTCTCGATCTCCTCTTGGGCAGGAAGACAGCAGTACGGTGGAGGGTTGGGTCAGCGGTGCGATGCAGTGGGTTGATTTTGGTGGGGTGAGTTTTCTCTCAAAGTCGCATGGGACGTGTCGGCCACGGAGGGTAATATCGGTCGGTTCGGTAAGGTGGTCGTCGGGAGGTTTGTCTTCTCGAAGCAGTAGCCAACGGTAGTTGAATTTAAAGAATCCAAAAAATGTGATGTCGTTGAGGGCGGCTTGTATCTTATATTGGAAGAAAGAGTCAACCCTTTTCGGCTTTGTAGGGGAAGGAGGGGAGAGGGAACCTGGAAGTGGAGGGCACGGGAGGGGGAAGGGAGGGACGCCGGGCGTGGCCTGGCAGGGGAAATTAGGAAGGAGGGGCAGCTAGCAGGCAAGGTCATGACGCAGACAGGGCAATGTGACGCAGATTCACGCTCACAGCTGGCCGCTACAAGTCGACCAGCAGGTAAAAACCAGTGGGAAAATACGCTGAGCGCTTTGGCTTTTGGCCAGTTAGCACTGATGAGATGCATTCCCGTACCTGCCCGACCTGCCGGTGCGGCGTGCCAGGTGCCAGACTAGCATCCACACATCACCACCTAATCATTCATCATCACCACCAACACACCACTAACGCCCAATCGCCTGTCTCGTTAGGCCGGAATGCCTGCCTGAAGCCATGCGAACCCTGGCTTTCTGCCTGTTGATGGTCGGGATATAGCTCATTATTGCAATCTGCCGTCGAGATTGACATGAACAGGAGTACCTGATCGTCAGACAAACCGTGAATCCGGTGCCTGGACAAATGCCAGCTAGTCGCAGGCAATATCTGCGACCACATTAGCTGAGATGAAGAGGCCAGGCAGGCCAGCCGGCAGGACATGTCGACTTGAAACATATCCTCTTCCAGATCCGCGCGTGTCGCCCAATCGATCGGTGACACGACCAGTCCACCCAGCTTCTGGCAGACACGGAGGTGTCAAACGAGTTTCCCGTGACACACACAAGTCCACCCGGCATCATACGCACATTCTGTACTCCGGCCATTTTTTTCTACGTGCGCATATACAAATAAAAAACGATGATGGCATCCCTCGGACTCGCTCCAAATCGGCCGTTCCAAAGTCTATCAAGTCTTTGGCGGCAAATCTTCGTTCCACAAGAGGGCTCAACAAGAACCTACCTACAGGTCATGTTTGCCCGGTATCTGGACTTTCCCATACCCAGTCCGGCGCTTCCACACCGCTCCTCAAAATCCCAGTCCCAACATGTTTCGCCGAACCCATCCGGGCCTGGACTTCAAGCATCCGGACTGTCGGTGTCAAGGGATTGAGACAAGCGCATCATGGAAATCTGTCGACACTTTGACGCTGGCAACGAGCTCATAATGATGAGAGACAAAGGAGGGAAAAGCAAAGTAATCGTTTAGATGATTCTGGTCAAGAAATAATTCAGTTGGCGCACTTCGCGATGTGCCTGCCGTGAATCACAAATGCCCCTCCATCTCCAGCGCTGGCAGCTGCGACCCACTGCAGGTTCCAGTGCGGGATGGTGGGGAAATTAAGGCCCCTGTCACCGAACCCGACGGGAAATTCCATCTTCAATGCTGACATAATCGAGGCTCAAGCCTCAATGTACGCCACAGGTGGCTGCTTCCTGTTCTGTTGCTCTCACCCCTCCCAGGAAGCTCCCTTCCCACCCCCAGCTTCCTCCGGCCTGAGGCACCCCTGCCTCTAGCCTCGCCGGCCAGCGTCGACCTCGCGCAGCAACACGCAGCTCTCAGGTTGCCTGAAGCTCAGATCCCAAGGCTCCAGATTCCCCAATTCCAACGTCCCGCATCGTCATTCACCACCACAACCGCCAAATCCCACGAACGACCATCCACGACCTGCCACCTCACGAACCTCGCTCCACGAAACGACCGGCTGCTCCTCCACACGAAATCGAAATCGACAAGACTTCCCAATACCTCAGAACACCCCCCCTCACTAATTCACAATGGTAAGCTTTCCCTTGCTGGGTCCCGGTCCCCGAACCGGGATGTCGAGAAGCTATCACCAATCCCACCTACAACCCCCGACACACTCCATTGACACAGATGAGCTGACCTCTTTCTCTCTCTCCTCGAACAACAGACGTCGATAGGCACAGGCTACGACCTGAGCAACTCCATCTTCTCCCCCGACGGCCGCAACTTCCAGGTCGAGTACGCCGTCAAGGCTGTCGAGAACGGCGGCACATCCATCGGCATCCGCTGCAAGGGCGGCGTCGTCCTCGCCGTCGAGAAGATCATCACCTCCAAGCTATGGAAGCCCAACGCCAACAAGCGCATCGCCACTATTGACAAACATCTCGGTGTTGTAAGTCTGACCCCTTCTTCCAGTCCCTCATACCCATCCATCTCCCCTCGGCAAACAATCCAAGAACTGCCCCTCCCTCGCCTATTACCGATGGTCAGCTAACACCTTACCCCCCAAAGGTCTACTCAGGCATGGTCCCCGACGGCCGCCACTTCGTCGACCGCGCCCGCGAAGAAGCCCGCGCCTGGCGCGACACCTTCAAGACCCCCATCTCCACCGCCGACCTCGCTGCCCGCATGGGCGGCTACCTCCAAGCCTACACCCTCTACTCCTCCGTCCGCCCCTTCGGCATCACCGCCATCGTCGGCGGCTTCGACCCCTCCACCGAGTCCCCCGTCGACGGCGAGGTCGGCTCCGGCCCCAAGGTCGGCGCCGGCGGCAAGGACGCCAACAAGACCCACGGCGGCCCCTTCCTCTACATGATCGAGCCCTCCGGCCTCTACTGGGGCTACTACGGCGCCGCCACCGGCAAGGGCCGCCAGGCCGCAAAGGCCGAGCTCGAGAAGCTCGACCTCGCCGAGGGCGGCCTCTCCCTCAAGGACGCCGTCAAGGAGGCCGCGCGCATCATCTACGTCGCCCACGACGACAACAAGGACAAGGAGTTCGAGCTGGAGATGAGCTGGATCAGCGACGTCGACGGCCCCACCAAGGGTCGTCACGAGGAGGTGCCCAAGGAGCTGCGCGAGGAGGCGGAGCGGTTAGCCAAGAAGGCGCTCGAGGGAGACGATGACGATGAAGAGGAGAAGAAGGACGATGACAAGATGGAGGAGTAAGGAGGCTCGGTCGTAGGCTAAAGCGAGGCGGGGTTTATCACGACACACAGAGAGTGAGAGAGAGAGAGACAAATCAAAACAAAAAAGAGAAGAGATCTTTCTGACGACGGAGCTGCTGCCGAAGGGAGTTCAGACGGGCACTCGAAAGACCTTTTGTGTACTTTGTAAAAACACCATGATGAGGGCTATGGCGGCTGGATCATAGACTAATCAGATCTGATTCGGGTCACGCTATCGTTCCGGCTCGGCGCCCGTGTCCGTGTTGCCGTGGTACGTCTCACACGTCTGGGGGCAGGTCCCTACGCAAGTAAAGTGCATGAGACTCGTTTCCGCTCTCTGTGTAGATACATGTGTTCTAATGGAAAACGCGCACTGCATTTGAGATGGCAACCGGGCTGCGGCTGGTGACGAGGGGTTCTCCTTCCTTCGTGGTTGTGTGTTCTAAAATCGAAAAGCTTGGATGAGATTGTAATACCCCAACCCGGGCAGATGAATACTCGGACGACGACGACGATGGACGATGCCGACAACGGAGACAACGACAATGACGAAGACATCAACGACAACAACGACAACGACGAAGACAACAACGAAAGCGACGACGACTAGGATGATCACCAATGAAGAACAATATCACAGGCCACTATGCACCATACAAGCTCATTCATAACACGTTGATTCTAAGTAACGTCAAGTCAAACTACCAGGTAATCAATCCCGTTCATCGCGCCCCGGACATTATGTCGCTTTCCATAAGTTTCCGTACTGCTTAAATCAAAATTGCCGCTCGCCATATCCCGTTCCCGCGTCCCGAGCTCAAGCCTTGACGATCCTGCACACCAGGTCCGAGCCGTCGACGGAGTCGCCCTCCTTGACCTGGAGGGTGGAGACCTTTCCGTTGTGCGGCGCAGAGATGACCATTTCCTGGGGAAAGAGTTAGTAAAGAGAGCAGTAACTGAGGGAAAGTGCAATAGACTTACCATCTTCATGGCGCTGAGAACAGCAATAGGGTCACCCTTCTTGACATCGGATCCGTCCTTGACACGGAGCTCGACCAAGACACCGGCCATGGGTGCGCCGACCTGGCTCGAGTCGGAGGGGTCGGCCTTGGGCCGGCTGACGTTCTCAACCGACGCCTTGTTGTCGTCGACGGTGACCTGTCTGACTTCACCGTTCATCTCGTAGAACACCTCGCGCTGGCCGGTGTTCTCGCTCAGGGGGCCGATGGCCAGGAGCTTCAGGATGAGGACCTTGCCCTTCTCGAGCTCGACGTGGAACTCCTCACCGATCTCGGGGCGAGACAGGAAGTACTTGGTCGGCAGCACGGAGAGATCACCGTACTTCTGGATGAACTTCTTGTAGTCCTCGAAGACCTTGGGGTACATGACGTACGCCGCAATGTCACACTCGGTGATGGGGCCACCGAACTTCTTGTGGAGGTCGCGCTTGACCTTGGCGAAGTCGACAGGGTCAAGGAACAGACCAGGGCGCTTGTCGAGCTTCCTGCGGCCACGGAGAGCATCAGAGCGGAGAGGCTCAGGGAATCCGCCGTACGGCTGACCCATCATACCCTCAAGGAACTCAAGGACGGAGCCAGGGAAATCGAGCTCGGAAGCACGGGCCTTGACGTCGTCCTCGGTAAGCTTGTTGGAGACCATGAACTGAGCCAGGTCACCAACAACCTTGGAGGTGGGCGTAACCTTGACAATGTCGCCAAGGAGGTCATTGGCGTGCTCATAAGCCTTCTTGGTCTCGGCCCACTGCGTACCAAGACCCAGTTGAGCAGCTTGGAACATCATGTTGGTGAGCTGACCACCGGGGATCTCGTGCTCATACACCTCAGGGTCAGGGCCGGCGAGATGAGCCTCGAAGGGGGAGTATAGCAGACGCAGTTGCTGCCAGTAGGTGTCCAGAGCGCGGACATGAGCAGGGTTCAGTCCAGTGTCGTGCTCGCTGCCCTCCAGGGAGGCAATGATGGCGTTGATACTTGGCTGAGAGGTCATGCCAGACAAGCTATCGGTGGCAGCGTCGACGGCATCGGCACCGGCCTTGGCGCAAGCGACCATAGAAGCAACACCCGTACCGGCAGAGTCGTGAGTGTGCACGTGAATGGGGAGATCGGGGTACTTCTTGCGAATCGCGCCGATCAGAAGCGTGGCAGCGTGGGGCTTGAGCACGCCAGCCATGTCCTTGATACCAAGAACGTGAATGTCCAGCGCAACGAGCTTGTCGACCAAGTCGAGGTAGTACTCGAGGTTGTACTTCTTCTTGGGGTTCTGGAGAGGTATTATTAGTTCGAATACTCACAAGACGATGAAAGACGACGAAGACGACGAAGACGACGACGAAGACGACGAAGACGACGAAGACGACGAAGACGACGAAGACGACGAAGACGACGAAGACGACGAAGACGACGAAGACGACGAAGACGACGAAGACGACGAAGACGACGGAAACGACAACAACAGGAGAGACTGAGAAAACAAACTTACTAGCATGTCGCCACTATAGCACACTGTTCCTTCAACGACACCGCCAGCCTTGTGGACAGCCTTGATACCAACCTCAAGCTGGTCGATGTCGTTCAGAGCATCGAAGACACGGAAGATATCGACTCCGTTCTTCTTGGCCTGCTCGACGAAGTGGTCGATGGCGTTGTCGGGAAGCGAGGCATACGCAACACCGTTGGCACCACGAAGCAGCATCTGGAACGGAATGTTGGGAACAGCTTTCCTCATGCGACGGAGACGGTCCCAGGGGTCCTCGTAGAGGAAGCGGTAAGCGACATCGAAGGTGGCACCTCCCCAGCACTCCAGACTGTAGAGGTTGGACAGAGCGTGGCTGGTCTCCTTGGAGATGTTCAGGAGATCAACTGTTCGCACTCTCGTCGCAAGGAGAGACTGATGGGCGTCACGCCATGTTGTATCCATGAGCAGCGTACCTCTTGGGACTTGGTTAGCACACAGACTACTGACAGAAGCAGTGGCAGTAACTTACTTGTACTGGCGAATGGCCTTGGCGAATGCCTTCGGGCCCTCGTCGAGAATGATTTGCCTCCAGCCCTTCTTGCAAGTCTGAGAAACGTCGAGCTTGGAGCCATCGTCGTTGAGAAGCTCAGGCAGGATAATATCGCCCTTGAACTTGGGCTCGCCGATCTGACCCTTGATGCTGCTGCCGTTGACGGCAACATCACCGAGGTAAGCAAGGAGCTTCTGCGCACGGTTCTGGCTGCCAATGAGGTCGAAAAGCTGGGGAGTGTCGTCGATGAAGGTGGTCCAGCAGTTGCCATCGATGAAAGTAGGGTGGGTGAGCAGAGAAGCCAGGAAAGGAATGTTGGTCTTGACACCGCGGATACGGAACTCAACCAGAGCACGAAGGATCTTCCTGCGGGCAATCTCGTATGTTGAACCGTGGCAAGTGCACTTGACCAACATGGAGTCGTAGTAGGGAGTAATGACTGCACCGGCGAAACCGTTACCACCGTCGAGACGGACACCGTTACCACCAGCAGAGCGGTAGACCTCGATCTTGCCAGTGTCAGGCGAGAAGCCCTTTGCGGGGTCCTCAGTGGTGATTCTGCACTGGATGGCGAAACCTCTGGTGGAAATGCGGTCTTGCGTCAGACCAAGCTGCTGCAGAGTAGCGCCGGCAGCAATCTGGATCTGGGCAGCCACGATGTCGATACCGGTGATCTCCTCGGTAATGGTGTGCTCGACTTGGATACGGGGGTTGATCTCGATGAAGTAGTACCTGTTCTGCTGGTCGACCAGGAACTCGGCGGTACCGGCGTTGCGGTAGTTGACGGACTTGGCCAGCTTGACGGCGTCGTTGAGGATGGCATCGCGAGTTTCGGTGGGGAGATCCTTGGCCGGTGCGATTTCGACGACCTTCTGGTGGCGACGCTGGACGGAGCAGTCACGCTCGTACAGGTGGACAATGTTGCCGTGGTTGTCACCGAGGAGCTGAACCTCAATGTGCTTGGGCTTGTCGAGGAATCTCTCGACGAAGACGGTGCCGTTGCCGAAGGCAGACTTGGCCTCGGATGTAGCTCTCTCGAAAGACTCCTTCAAGCTCTCCTGCTCGCGCACGACACGCATACCACGACCACCACCGCCATAAGCGGCCTTGATGATGATCGGGAAACCATATTCATCGGTGAAGGACTTGACCTCCTCAAAGGTGGCAACGGCGCCTTCGGTACCAGGGACGACGGGGACATCGGCAGCGATAGCGAGCTTTCGGGCAGAGACCTTGTCGCCGAGCGAGTCAATGACATCGGCAGTAGGTCCGACAAACTAAAATGGATGCCGAGTCAGCGTGTTGTCGGATTTTAGGGGGGCTGCAGGATCTCTTACAATCAAGCCGGCCTTCTCGACGTTGCGCGCGAACTCGGCGTTTTCGGACAGGAAGCCGTAGCCTTTGGTGGGGGATTAGCACATGTCAAAAAGAAGGCATTTTGGAGCTCCTACCTGGGTGAATCATTTGGGCGCCATGCTCGACGGCAATCTTGATGATCTCATCTCCAGCGAGATAAGCACCGACCGGGGTGTATTGGCCGCGCTTGCCAATGACGTATGCCTCGTCGGCCTCTGTGGAACAATGGTTAGAGGGGAATGAAGTAGAAGAGGAGCTGCGAAATCAACGTACTTTGTCTGTGCATGGAGAGACGGTCCTCATAACTGCGAGTTTTAGTAGGCGGACATCAATTTGAGCGCAGACGATGTACCTGAAGACTGCAATGGTGTGCAGTGAGAGTTCGTGGGCCTACAGAGAGTCAGCGATGGGTCCCCAGACACAACAGCACAGCGGCGGCTTTAGGAGAGGACTTACGGTTCTGAAGATCTACAAACGCGGACAAGTGAGCATTACAATTCTAAAGCGATACTTTGAGCAGCGAGGACATTCAACATACCCGAATGGCTGGGCGTTGGTTAGCTTGTGTGCATCAGGAGTCGGACGAACGGATGGACTTACGAATTTCACCACGGTTGGCAACTATAGGCATAGAAGACGCAGATTAGCACAGTTCTTGAGTGGAAGCGTCCCGAGGCCTCTCGGAGGCTCCGAACACGGCCTTGGAGCTTCGAACTCACCCAGAATCTTCTTCAGGTGCATGATGCTCGAGTTGGCGCGAATGTGGTGGATGGTCTGGGGGTCCTTGGGGACCTCCTCGACGTCGCCCTCCTCGAAGACATCGTTGAACGTGGGCTGCGTTTGGGCCATGATGGGCAACTGTGCAGCGGGTGTGAAGGTGTGAGAAGGAGGATGTAGTTGGAGAGAGGAACAGCTACGGCCCAATTTGAAGGGGACCGAGGTGTATGGGCAGCTGTTGAGGTCTCAGGTACGAGACAATTGCGTCGGCTGTCGGTTGGCGGGGTGGTTTGGTATGGTTTGGGTCCGGTATGGCTTGGTGGGGGTATCTCCCAGGTTCCCAATCCCAAGCTTTCTTTGGATGCAGCAAGCTTGTCGGAGGTGCCGCTTGTTGCTTGTGGTCTGGTGTCTGGCCGGCTTTCTTTCAAGTGCAGATCAGGCGCAGCAACAGAAAGATGCGGCGGCGGGTACAAGGGCCAGGGGGTGAGCTGAGTCCAGATGAGCCGAAGCACCGAAGTAGAGAGGCGCGCCGTTTGGTGGGCTGAGAAGTTGAGCCGACAGGATTCGATTCGACGGGATGAAGGAAGACTTGAGACTTGAGAGCCGAGGGGTAGCTGTGGAAGCTTGGATGCTCTTTGCCGGGGTTCTGGTAGAGAGCTTCAAGGACAAGCGAGCGCAGCTCTTCTTCTCTAATTCTCTCTTTCCGCTATTACAGCCGTCCGACCGAAGGGAACGGGAGTGGATGTCGATGGTGGTGGGGTAGGTATGACGGTGGTGGATGCGAATAAGCAGTGGTATCTGGGGGAGCACAAACGACGAAGTATGTACGCAACAGCTATTACAAGCAGCAGCCGGCGAACAGAGGACAGGAGACAGAGGACGGGAAGAGAAAGAAGGAGGAGGGACGGGATGAACACGAAGCTCGTGGGATGAGGGGATTTATTGTATCTGAGTTGGTGCCAAAAGTCAAGGTGAGAGTTCCAGTCAGTCATTCTTTCCTCGCGTCCGGTCGTCAGGGCATCTCTCCTGGTAGGTACATCCCGGCCCAAACGGAAAAGACCAGACCAGATCCATCTGAGAGGGCCATGTCCATCCATCCAGGGCAGTTCAGACCAACCTAAAGCTGGGACTGATGCCCGTGAGGTGAGATGAGTACTCTCAGTAAAGCTGGTGGTGGATGGACATGGACCTGGATGAGTATGTGACTGGTGAGAAACCGACTGGCGACGGCAAAACACCTCCCTCCCCTGTCACCCCTCGTCGTCATGAAGGAGGGGACCTTGTCTCCAGCTGCTAGCGCGAAGTAAAAGGCACTCAGTAGGTAGCCAGGGCAGACAAGTATCCGGGTACTTCCATGCGAAGAGCGAGATGCGGCGAGATGAGCTGCGTGGCTGTTGTCCAGGTGCATCAGATGGGAGTTGCAGGCGGGAAGAGGGACCCAGAGGAGGGGGAGGGGTAGAGGGGTGAGACAGTGGACTGCGTACCGCGGTACATCCAAAAAGATACGTACCGCCCCTCCAGCTGGCAGCGGAACCTTCACCTCTGATGGAGCTTAGGCCACCCTGCGATAGCAGCTGCCCACTCAAAACATGTCCAGTCCAGTCCAGTCGCTTTGTCGCGGCAGGAAGAGAAAAATAAAAGATTCATTGCATTGGCATGTCTCGCCGGCATTCGGCGTTGGTCAATATCCCACCTGACGACGATGATCACGCTGCCGTATCCCATACATCACAGCGACCGTCCATTACCGCAAGAGGCAATCCAGTTAGTCAATCTTTCAATAGACTCCCTCTGGCCTCACAGAAACCCCCCAGAACCCAGAACCCAGTACGTGTAGCGTAGCGTGAGGTGCGGATACATGTGAATCCCAACCTGAGATGGTGATACCTCTTGGCTTTGCAATGCCCCGAGGACAGCCCTGAGAATAGCAGCAACCCCCCGCCCATCCCTGGCCGAGAGATACAGCGCGTGTTTCTACCACCTCCAATCCTCTCAGCACGATCGCCTTGACCGCAGCTCCTGAGACAGTTGGCGAGAATGCCCAGAGATCTGCAATCAACAAGAACGAAACAAAACACCCCGTCACCGAGAGACACACCTTGATATCTTTAGATCTTATTGTACAGAGACAGACAGGTCCACGAAGAGACGAGGGTTGAGACATGATCAAACACCATCTGGAAATAATAATTCTAAAAGTAAATGGAAAGGCAACGGCGGGGTCGCAAAACACCGCTAAACCCCCCAAGCAATTGACCAACCAAAACCCGCCGATACAAAACAGCTTTCCTCCGGTTTGACTAACACTCAGCCATCCTGGAAGGAAGGAAGCCAATGGAGGATTAGTGACAACAACAATTGCAGAATGCCAGAGATTGAAGGAAACAGCAACTGGAAGGCACTTGATAGATGCGGTTAATACCTTAGACTCCGGTTATTGGGAAAGGGCAAGCACGTAAAATGTAGATCAGGCTGGTACCTGACTTGTGAAGCCAAATTGCGAGACACGGCAGGTACCTGTCTGCTGCACCTGCCGTAGAATTACATTCTGCAAGAGGTGGCGTGCCTGTCACAAGCAGCCCGTTGCATCGAGACCTCTCTAGCGGCATCATCGTACATCATTTTACTGCGACACACACTCTTCACAACCAAGATGCCGACAGAATCTCCCCAATCCCGAGCCAAACGCAACCAACTCGGCAATCTTCGCAATCTCACGAGGTCTTCACGGGATTCCCCAGATTCCCAGAAGCCTGTAAGGGCTCTTCCGGGCGCCATCACTACCGAAGCCGAGGATAACACGGTTGTCCACCCGATTCAACGGCCACGAATTCGGACGTCCGCCTCGTCCACCCGGCCGCCAGCCAGCTCTTTGTTGCTTCGGGACAACTCGACGCGATATCAGCCATCGCGAACATGAGCTCGGCACCTCGTTCCTGACCTTTTTCGCCCCGCGGTCCAGCTTCCCTCGACCGTCCCAGAATGCGGGGTGACTTTCGCAGGGTTCTGTCTTTTGTTTACCCCTTTGACGTCTTTTTCTTATTCCATCCAGGTCAGAGAATATCCGAATTATCGTCAACCTCGGCCTCTTGCACCGAGGGGCATGCTGCCACACAGACGAGTACCGGCTCCCCTTCCGTTCCAAGACCAATCCCGCCCTGGGCTGAGAGGCAGGCCACGCCGACCTTGGCCCGGACTGGCTACTGGAACCGCCGACTGCCGCCGCCCACCTCACCACACTGGATCACGACTGACCACATGCAACTACAACACGACAGCCATGAAGCCACTCATCAGAAGCGCACCACCCCAGACAGAGAAGCCAGCCCGTCCAGGTTCCTCCGTCAATGGAAGACAAAACCGCGCAGCCCCCATATAACTCGAAAGTTATTCCCGGTCCACTGACTCTTGGGGCGAAATCCCCGGACCGCGCTGGACCTTGGCTGGGTCTGTCCCGTGTTCCTCAAGTGGGAGTGTCGACGTTGAACGGAATGGGGCCGCTTCAACGGCTTTCATCCGGTGCATCAGATGCGACTGCAACTCCTCGCATCAAGCCATCTCGAGTCGTTACACCGCCAAGGTGCCTCTCTGCATCTTGCCTGGGCTGCAAGTCTACGGACACCTCGGCCAGATTATTCTGCGCAACTAAAACCCATACCTTTGGGACGCTACCAAGACTCTTGGCCCCCCATCGAACAAGAGGAGGGCTTTCTGTCGTTTCCTCTTTTTCGTTCCCAGATCAATCGCGCCGATATCCAAGCGGCATTGGCAAAAAGGAGCCAGAAAAATTTGACATCTCAGCCTAAACCCACCATGACACCAATTTCGTGATGATGGCTCCCCGGCCAGATCTGGGTACTCCGACGTCGGCTCTACCGGCATCTGCTTTCTCAGCCCCCCATTCTGTCGAGATAATGCGCAAAGCAAATACCGCGACACGGTGTATCTCCAGTCCGCCACGCCAGCAAGGCTGGTTGTCGATGGTAATAAGAATTAGCCACGACTTCACCAACACTATGCGACATTTATTTCAGCCCGGCCCCCCCAGCTCTGCCTGCCCCCGTCTCCCTGTCACCTTGCGTGATCGTCTGCCGTGTGTGACTCTTTCGAATCGACGGATATCAGAGGTTATTTGAGGCATACGGCGTCTTCGTACCCGCCCTGCACCCCACGATCAATAACGCCGGGCTCCAGCGGCGCATGCGCGGCGGTTCCAAGGGACCAAGGACCAAGGTTGATGGATCTGCACTCGGCCGGCCGTCCGGCGAGATCTGCCCAGCTGCCAACATCGACAGGTGGGGGTCATGTCGGTGCTCTCGCAGTTTCGGAGAGACACCCACTGCAACTGTTAGACCGACCACGTTCGACGAACCTGTGGATGAGATGAGACGACGATACCTATTTTTGACTCATCGAATCTTTGAGAGCTTCGCTCGCTCACCAGAGCAGAGTCCTTGGCCCCCCCTCGACCTCCTGTCTCTGGCCCCGGCCCTTGAAACAAAGCGCGAATCGCCCGAAATAGGAGGGCTCCGCTCCGCTCCGTCCAGCTGTCATGGCACCGACTTGCGCGCAAAAAAAGAGTCTCACGGGGAAACCTTTCCAGACTTCCATAGTTCGGATCAAGGCCCCGAGAACGGCGATCCACCATCACAGCACCGCCGCTCGACCATCATTGCAACCTGCTACCCACCCTATTCAGTTCCAGACCGCCTGGCCAAGACATTCTCATCACTCACTCAACGCTTTTGGCTTTCTACTTCTCACGGTTTAAGCTGGCACGTCTCCAAAGATCCCAGAAACAGTTTCGCTTTTCTATGATACGAAATAACGGGCCCAAGACGAGAGGCCCGCGCCCTTGGATGTTTGCTCCGGGGAATCAGGGGTCCCGTTTCCGAGAAAACACAAAAAAAGGATGACAACAATGCAAAGGTGGTGATGGTACAGGTAACCCCAGCTACCACCCACATCTCGCGCCGCGGCCTTATCAAGGGGCCGTTAACACACTTCACACGCCGTGACCTGTCGGACGGGGATTTCTCCTTTCACGTCCTCATTCACAGCAACCCGCGGACGAAGGACTCGTAGCATCCCTCCCGGGCGCTCCAAGACCTTCGAAACCAGCAGCCAACAAC